AAAAGACCCTTTCTGAAGAAGGGTCTAGGCCCGAAACGTCAGCCTTCCTGCTCCTATGATGCTGCTTGGCCTGCTGTGTTCATCCAGCTCTACACCTTGTTATCTCAGATTCTCCAGCATCTGCAGTTCCTACTATCTCCATCCATTCCAGGTACTGGTCTAGTAAACCTTCTTTGAACTGAAGCAGCAAAGTGGGTCGTTTCCAGAGACTGTTATTGCATTCTCCCAGACTAAGTGTGAACCAGTTATCCTGTGCCTTTTGCAAACAGGTGAAAGAATACGGAGAAGGAAAATCAAGATGCAGCATTCAGAACACTCGTTTTTTTTTTGTCAGTTTGTATGTGCGTGTTGAGGGGAAATCTTATGTGTGGGTTAGTGTTTTAACTAGTAGAAAGTCGTTGTTGATCTGTAGTTAGGATCTATTTATTTGTCATAAGTAGTAATTTTTATTCAGTACTTAAACCTGGTCCATACTTTGTCAACCTGAGTCTGACAGACTGCAAAATTGTGGATTTTATAAACTTTTATGTAATCTTTAACTTTTGTGATGATTCTGGGAGGAGTGGGACTGGTTTCCAGGCTGCTACCCCAGTGAGTTGTAACACCATCAGCAGCTTGCTCATCATGTTGGATAACAGGATGAGGTTTAAACTGAGAGTCGAGAAGAAACATAACTCAGGAACATGTCGTCATCCTTGATATTCTCAGTGACTCAGATCCCATGGCTGTGCTGCAGCTAGCTATTGTGTTTGTACATTCATTTCCCATTTCCCATTTCCCATTACTTTGCTGTGGGTTTCATTAGTGTCACAAGCAGTTTAACTTTGACACAAACTGAATATTTTCAGCTTTTGTGTAGTTAAATTAATATTTTCTTGATTCATCCACTGGATATCATTTTTACCTTTACAATTGCCATACATCTTTGTCCAATATGTTTTGTATATACTATTTTTTTTGATACATTGTGTTCTATAGGAAAAACCATTGTTACTGTTTGTCAAATCATACTGTTTGCTTTTGGCTGTGTACGTTTTGTGGCCCATAGAGAGATCGTCTTGCTGGAGCCCTCAAGCAGCCAGTATACATGCCTCTCCACCATTTGCCCAATGTGCATTCCAGTTAATAATCATCCCACCAATATTTTGTAAACTGTACGGTGTATAGCCCTAAAATAATATAATACAGCCCCGTGTCAAAACTGTGTTAACAGAATGTCAACGTTTTGCTTTTAATAATGACCTTCTGTTCTCTTAACGCGTGACTGTGTTGAAAGACACTGCTGGCTGTGTATTTCCCCAATACATAGTAGTTAAGTTGTAAGGTCAAATGTGATCGAGCAATTAGGTAATTACTCCATTCTGATTTACAAATGCTGAAATGCCTCTTTGTTCAATTTGCCATGTGTGGATTGTTGGTGCAGCGAAGCCTGTAGGACTCCCCTTGACTGAAGCAGACTCAGAATCCCTTGGATTGGAATTTTTGTAAAAGTAATGTTTTATCCACTCTAAGTTTCCCATTCCTTTGCTGTATATTTTCACCTTTGCTCTCCCCCACCCATACCCTTCCCCCTTTCATTCTTTCTTGCCATCTTTTTACTTCTTTCCAATCCCAGGATCCTTACAGCCAACTGAAGCATCCTTAATGCTGCCAGCTGAAACCAGTTTACGTCACATAGGTATATGATCGATACTAAGACTTTGCTAAAAGCAAGTAACTCTGATGTTAGAAATCTGACCTAAAATAGAAAGTGGTAGAAATACACAGCAGTATCTCCTAGAGTAAGATACAGAGCTAACATTTTGAGTATCAAATCCTTGGGACTTTTCTATCTTGCCTAATATTGTACAATTTGACTGTTCATGTGCATTTATAAAGAGCAATTACATCACGTTGACCATCATTGTATCCGCTGAACCTGTGGGGCAGATTAATTTTGGTCGGTTCTTTAAAATGAAATTTATTTCTGGCTCTTGCTTATTTGTGTTTTGTTGATGTAATCTCTTTCCAAGGTACTGCAGTGGGTGTTGTTATCTACACAGGCAAAGAAATGCGAAGTGTTATGAATACGTCTCACCCAAAAAGCAAGGTACAGTTTGAAAATTTTAGTGTAGAACAAATTTAGTAATGAGCCCCATAATTGTTTCTCCTTATAAATTGACATGCATTACAAATTACTGGGAAAAATTTCTTAATGGTCATATTTGGAGTGAAATTGTATTTCATGTATAGTTTAGATTTCTCTAACAAATAGCACGTTTCTCATTTTTTTGATAATTTCTAAACACCAGAATTTAGACAAAGTTTTGCAGTATTTATGCAAAGTTTTAACAGATTCTAAGTTGAAAGAATAATTTTATTTTTGCTGACCTGATAGAATGTGTAAACACTGAAAGATGAAATTAAACCTTCAGAGGTATACTATCTCATGATGTCAGTGACATTTTAAAATAAAACCTCTGGCTGAAAGCTGGGTGACATCTCAGCTGTTGGAGATATTCCCACTTCTCGAGAGCCAAGGACTGGATTGGCAGGAATACTAATCCATTAAAATCTCATAGGCTTTATCTACTGAGTGTGCAGCTTTTGAAAAGGTATTTGTATTGTCTCAATGTGAAACACATGCTATTACATAATTTTTTACAATGTTTAATATGCTACGCACTGGGATGGATGAGAATTCGTGGACTCGTGCTCAAATTCAGCTTAGAGTACAATACTTTCATTGTCTGCTAGCAGCAAGAGTCTTTTTGGGGAAGTGAATTATGGGCAGCCTGAGTCAGTTGATAGTGGGGATAGGTGTATCAAAACCCAAGTTGTTCATTTCATTAGCACGACATGGCTAAATATCATGTCAGACATGGCTAAATATCACATTGGTACAGTATTAGATGCTGTTCAGAGGTTTGGGCTAAGGTGCATTGCAGAAAGTGAGTAGAGGGACTTCTCACTTTGCCTGGATGAGCTGTGTTTGATATTGGGAGTTTTTGGTTCAAACGGAGTTTATGCTGCAGTAATAGTTTAAAATGTGACTGACCTCCCTTGAATAGCACATGTCCACTTCTGATCCATGTATTTAAATAGACATGGTTTCCCATCATGCAAGCTAAAAATAAATCATGTTAAGCACCTTCTCCTGTTACTAACTTTTTTTTAAAAGAATTTATTCTTCATGTAGGGAGGAGCACCAGTTAACTTTTGCCTATTGGCTTTTCCCATATACTCACCACAAGGTGGCAGCAGGAGTAGCACCAAATCTGCTGCACTGCGCGGGAGTGAAACCAGGAATTAGGTCATTGTTATCTGTCAGTCTAACCTGGAATCAGGAATTATGTCAACATAGAAATTGCACCAAAAAATGTAAACTATAATCAGGTAAGTTCCCAGTGTCTTGTTAGCTGGCAACTTTGCCTGCCATATTCTTGTTTACACTTGTATCCTTGTCTCTAAAAAAAAAAATTTCTTAGTCACAGGCAAGATAGCTGCCCCTATGAAAATGATGAATGTGATGCATGTCACATCCATTTTTTTAAAAAACAAAAACTTTTTCTGGAGAACATGTTTTGGAGAGTTAAATTTATTACTATACATGTAAAGAAGCACTTTTGTTGATTTCTAGTTTTTTTTCTTTTTCCTAGATGGGACTGTTTGACCTGGAGGTGAACTGTTTGATGAAGATTTTGTTTGTTGCATTGGTGGCGTTGTCGCTTGTCATGGTTTCTCTGCAGCACTTCAGGGGTCGCTGGTATCTCCACTTGTTTCGCTTCTTCCTTTTGTTTTCCCAAATCGTTCCAATCAGGTAAATTATGGTCTGTTTCTTCCTGCCTATAGCAACCTTTTTAAAAGCTTTTGTTTTCAGTTTCCTTTCCTGTGTGCTCTGTCCCATCAGTTTACACGTGATGCGTATCCTCCCAATTTAGCATTATTGCAAATTTTGAACTGTTTTGCGAATTTCTGAGTTTGAATTGTTTATGCAAATGGTAAACAACAATGTCAGCACCAATCCCTGCAGGACACCATTCCCACTATACATTGTCTGAACAGAAGCAATGCAGTGGATGTGGAATATTTGAGCTATTGGAAGATCTTTAGTGAGCACACATTTATCATGACAAAACTATGTGACACAGTTGACTCTAGGCAGCTTACGAATAGTTTGCAAGATGACTATAAAATAGGAAGTCAGAGATAAGAGTTGTTTCACTGACCAACAGAATGAATGATTGACGTTGACCCTGAGGTTTCAGTGGCCGTGTTGAAATTTGAAGATGATATCAAGTTGGAGGAAATAGCTGGAATCGGGAAGACTGGCCAAAAAGACAAGAAGAAGGGTCTGAACAATATAAAATCTTGAAGCATTGAAGACAGTGCAGAAAATATTTACAAAGTTAATAGAATTGAGAGAGCACAATTGCTAAGAAAATAAATGATTATGATGTTGGACCCAAGTATTTTGATTATTCCTGCAAACGAGAAAACCTGATTGAGGACCTCACTGGTATGGAAGTGTTTCATCGGGTAAATGTGAAGAATATATTTTTGTTGTGGATAATCCTGAATAAAGAGGGAACAAGTATAACGGAGGCACTGAACGGCACAAGTAACAAATTTAGACATTTTCCGCCACAGAATGTGCTCGTGTGGGGTGGCTGAAGCAGAAAGTATCAGTGCACTTATGTTGTTCATTCTACACAATGCTCAACTGTCAGTGCTGTGCTGCCAATACTATTCACAGTTCTTCTGGGGTGGATGATTTTTAAAACGTGGAGCAAAATGTTCTTTTCATTGTCGTTGCTTATTTCGGTAGTTTAAAAAAAAACACCCTAAGAATTAATAGAGGGTAAATAATTGATTTTAGATCTGCATTTTTTTTGCTTGCAATATCCTCTCAGTCCTTTCATGAAGGAGTTGACTCTGGGAATGATTACCTCCCAGTGCCTTGCCCAGTCCAGTTTATCTAAATACACCTATCAAAACATTTAATAACATCTGCAATAACATTTGTGTGTATACTAATTTTAAGTTCTGTTAGTAGTACTTTCATGCAAACTTGAATCTCCCAGCTGCAATCTCCAAATATTTGCCTGAGAAATATGTTTGTTAAATTACAACAGCCTCATTGGGAAGATTTGTATAAAGAACAGAAGCTGTGAGGTTTTTTTAGCTTCCCTTACCAGCCGGAAACAGTAAGGCATGGGAAATGTGGAAGTTCAGAATCTCTCAAACCCTGGAGTTTGAACTCACCTATGCATGTGTGCTATCACATAGCGGTTTGATACCTAGATGCCATCCTGATTGCTGTGTTGGGATTTCAGTTCATCAGGAAGTAGTAGAGTGAAGGCCACTGGAGAAGGATGATCTGATGTGTGGGGCAGTGGGAGCGAGTCATGGTGTTCTGAGGGGGAGGGGAGTTTAGTTTGATTATCACAAGGGGGAATTAGGATCTTGGGGAGGTCAGCGGGCTTCTGGGTGAGGCTGGGACAGGGGGTGATGAGAGGATATTATCAATAATTGGGTGTAGGGTTACAGAGAGCTGGATCATGGGAGGTTTCCCTAATCCAAAGGGGTCATGAAGAAAGCACTCCCCACCTGTATTTGACAGGCCACCTTTGAATGTCAGTAGGGGAATATCAATAAAGTTTGCAACACCACCATAAAGTTTCATGTCCTAACCTGCCCCATCAATGAAGCTTGGTTGTCTACACACCATTCAGCATCCATTAAAACCATACGACATAGGGCACATGTAGACCAATTTGCCCACTAAGTCTGCTCTTCCATTTAATGGGATCATAGCTGATCTGATAATCCTTAAATCCACTTTTCTACCTTATACCCTATAAACCTTGATTCTCTTACCGATTTAGAAATCTGTTTATCTCAGCCTTGAATATACTTAGTGACCTATAATGGACAGCCCTCTGTGGTAAAAAAAATAACAGATTGACTACTCTCTGACAGAAAAAATTCCCATGTTTCTTTGTCTTAAATGGGCAACCCTCTTCTTCTGTGGTTATCACATCTAGTTCTAGACTCTCCCTACAGGGATATAACCTCTTTGCATCTACCATGGCAAGCCCATAAGGATCTGGTATGTTTCAGTGAGGTCTCCTCTCATTCTTCTGAGCTGTTGTGAATGCAAACAAAACCTACTCAGGCTTTTCTTGTAAGAAAATCCCTCCAGCTCCAAGATCAACCAAGTGAACCCTCTTTGAGCTGCTTCCAATGCCAGTATATCTTTTCTTCCATAAGGGAACCAAAACAGTATTCTAAATGTATCTAATGCCTTGTATAGTTTTAGCAAGAACTCCTTATCTTAATATTTTAAAACCAAAAGTAGGTAGGTTGGGGAACGGTTTGGGTCAAGATGCAGGCTTTTAATACTCTAACTTCCCACGTAGTCTAACCTCATCTGTTTTTTGAAGTATTGGCTCTACTGGCTATTCAGTGAGTTGAATGAGTACCCCCAAGAAGGAGCTAGATTGAATCATCTTGGCTGTGCTGAGATAGATAATTATTACAAGAGTAAATTTCAAGGTGCTGTAACGCACCTTTAATATTAGTGGATTGAGGAGGGGAAAAAGATTGAGCTGGATTTCTAACCTTGTCATAGTTTGACAATCCCTGTTGAAAATATCCAGGATAAGCGAGGATATGAACAAAAACTGAAATTGCTGGGATAACTCAGCAGGTCAGGCAGCCCCTGTGGACAGAAAGTGGAGTTAATGTTTCGGGTCCAGTGACCTTTCTTCAGAACAGTGAGAGTATGATTTGGCTTGAGCTGTAATGTTCCAGAGAGTTGAGTAGTTGTTGGAAACTCACTGGAATAAGGCATGTTTGGGTGAAGCACGGTATAGTTACTGGAGGGTTCCTGAAATTTATTTCAATAAGGGTTTGCATGTCTTTGAGGTGCAGAAGGGAGAAAAGAAAAAAAAAGTTCTGTGGTGACAGCAGTTCCACTGAACCTCATCTGAAAGTTAATTATAAATTAAAAACCACACCAAATATTGTTCTATCGCATCTGCATCGAGGTTGTATCAAAGTAATTTTGTAGCCCAAAAGTAATCAGTCACACCCTTATTCAATTATCAAAATAAATTCGCATGTATTCAGTACACTCACTTGGGGATGTTTACGTGGCAATATATGTTGAGAGCTGTTTTGTTATTAGTGTTTGTTCTTTCCGATCTATATAGTATACGTGTCAACCTGGACATGGGAAAGATGGTCTACAGCTTGATGATTAGGAAAGACTCTAAAATTCCTGGCACATTGGTCCGGGCCAGTACCATTCCCGAGCAGCTTGGGAGAATATCTTACGTACTCACAGACAAGACAGGTAATGTTTTATTTTGGGATTGCATTCACACACTTGCCATGGAGAGGCTGAAAAGAGGGTTCAGTAACATGATACAAAGGAGAAGAATGATTAATTAGGAAAAGAGAATTGAAAAGCTAGAGCTTTTCATCAAAGCACAAAATCTGATGCTCAAAATTAAGGGAGGCTTTAACAAAGAAAACTTGGACCAGCTTCAATTTCCATTGTTCGGTGAGTCAGTAATTAGCAACCATAATGTTAAGATCATTACCAAAAGAACAAAGGATGAGATTTTTAAAAATTTACAGAGAGGTAGGTTATGAAATTCTTCATCAGTAGCAGGGAAAGCAGGATTTGTAAAAGTGGAAGAATATTTGAAAGCAAAGACTTACAAGGGATGCGAAATATTGGATTAGGTAGAAAAGCCTTTCAGAGAACCAGTACAGGCATATTGGGCCAAATGGCTTCCTCCTCTATTTTAAAGTTGTGTGACTAAGATTCATTCTTAACATTCATGTTGTAACCCATGGCATCCTGTACTGCCCCAGCAACTTTCTAATAATAAGCTGTCTACCTTTAAAGAAGTATAAAGAGTTTTGAATAAAATCTGAGACAAAATAAACATAGATGACTGAGCAATCCCCTAAGGAAGTGATATATTTCTTTTTTTTTCTGTTGATTATCCTTAAATCACCCTGTTCCCTTCTTCCTTTAGGCAGTTTTTTAGTTTGTGATCACTAGACCAAAATATTATTTCAAGCTTGAATGTTGTTGTTTTAAAGACACAGAATTTCCCTTTTGTGTTTTTGGGGCCTGTGTAGCCTTCCATGGAAAACTAATGAGGTTTCTCATCAATTAATTGATCACTATTTTGAACATCTTGAACTTGGAGCTTAGAGAAGCTAAAGCAAGTGACGAAAGGATTATGGAGTTCTATGCTTTCCCATTTTGAAGGGGAAGTAGTCTCTGGTCAAAGAAAAAATCTGCTTCTTCACAATTTTTCTGGCAAATAAGGAGGGGTAATATGCATCGAATGGTAAAGCATTAACAGGAGGTGAGGGATAAACACCTTTAGAGATTCAGATTTACTGATCTTTTAATAAAAGGAATGAGTTGTTGAGGCTGATAAAGAACAAATACATATAGTTCGCTTGATGTTAGAAACATCATTGGAGATCTACGTAAGAAAAGAATGTTCAGTTCTGACTGCCTTCCATTCCAAAAAGATGTCAAGATGTTGCAGAAGAGGTAAACTAAGATGATACATAGGATGAGGTTTTCTGACATAACTGTGTTCTGGGGCTGGATTTTCAATCCAGACCTGTTGTCTCAATGACACTGCATCACCGTTGTGGTGTTATTTGATTGCAGAAATCCCTAATTGGGCCAGAAGCAACATCAACACCCAGTCAGTGGTGACAGTATCTGGACCTGGAGTGCAATCTGAAAGGCAAACAGCAACCATAACTTTGTTTGCTGTGGTTAATAATTGGAGTAGACAGTAGAGCAGAGGGCCTACAGTCACACTGTGTAACAAGTGATCCATGCGACTGATTCTTAATAGTCCTCTGGGCAGTTAGGGATGGGCAATAAATGCTGGCCTAACCAGCAATGCCCACATCCTCATAGAATCATAGTGTGGAAACAGGCCATTTGGCCCATTGAGTCCACACCTCTGAAGAGCATCCCACCCAGAACCACCCCTCTACCCTATCGCTGTAACCCAGCATCTCCCATGGCTAATCCATCTAAGCTGCATATCCCTGAACACTATGGGCAATTTAGCATGTCCAATCCACATGACCTGCGCATCTTTGGACTGTGGGAGGAAACTGGAGCACCTGGAGGAAACCCATGCAGACACAGGGAAAATGTGCAAACTCCATACAGACAGTCGCCCGAGGGTGGAATCGAACCTGGATCCCTGTCACTGTGAGGCCGCAGTGCTAACCAATGAGCTACTGTGCTGCCCTATCCTGTGAATGTTTTTTTTTAAAAAGACTATAATGGCAGAGGCGAGCATTCACTTTGTTTTCTTGCTACTGTAATAAGATGGTGGACAGCCATGCAACCCTCTGACTAATGAAGGGCCTCTCCCTACAACTACTGCAATCTCCTCATGGGTTTGAGAGGGGCTGACGTCCTGATTCGAAAGCAGGATTACATCCCCTCCATTTGCATTCAAGTGAGCACAATGTCATGTGAAACGGTGTTAATCTCTCATTCTCCCCTCCACCCATGGATAAACAATCAGCAAATGATAGTTTAGGTTCACACATGAAGTCAGTTGAACAAATTGCTTGCACCATATTGCTCAGTGGATAGGATAAAAAATGGGGTAGAGGAAGTCACTTTGTGTACAGACCCTTAATGTAGCAATACCTTGGGATCACAGAATCACAGAATTGTCCCATGTACAAGATGGCCATTTGGCCCATTGTGTCTGCACTAGCTCTCCAAAGGGCATTATGCCTTGCTGATACAAGGAACTAAAATGGAATTCCATAAATTTCAAAATCTCATATCTTATCTTGGTCTTTCTGTCTCCATTTCACAGGAACTCTTACAAAAAATGAGATGCAGTTCAGGCGTCTTCACCTGGGTACGGTATCTTATGGGTTAGATTCTATGGATGAAGTAGAGAGCCACGTTTTTAGTGCATATACACAGGTAATCCTTGTCTAAGTGACTAGCTGCTACTGGTGTTGTTTACTACTCAGGCTAATAATTTACTATAAGCTCCGATTTCCATTGCTGAGTGTAGGACCAATGAAACTCTAAATTCCTTTCAGTGATTTATTAAGTTCAAGATGTCATTGAGTCTGATACAATCCTTTCTTATTTTCTGTATGATTGCTTAAACAGGTTATCATGATGTTTCGTTTATTATCAAAAAGAACCACTTATTCAATTGTCATCATAAATGAATCATTCATTTATAAATATTTGATTTGTACTTTACAGCCTGAGAGGATTGCATTTTTCTTTAGCAGATTGACCAGGTGACTTTTGCTTGAATCATGCTACAGTGGAGTTGTAAGCTGGTTCGCCGAGCTGACTAGTTTTCATGCAAACGTTTCATCCCCCTTTTAGGTGACATCATCAGTGCTGTCCACTGAAGCGCTGTTGTTCTGTTCCATCCTGAATTTATCAGAGTAGAAGCATTTGGCGAGGGACTTTGTTCAGCAGTTCATTGATGCGAGGCAGATATTTAGCTGCTTTTACTCTAATCTCCACATTCATGTTTTGTTTGGAAACAGTAGTGAATTATTAAAAGTTTCTGATTCGGAAAGTTTGTCAGCTTATTCTCACGTATAGCAAAGCCTTCTTGAGCCTGAGGTACATCTGCCCAGTAGCAGTTAGTAAAACACACAATGTGAGGCAGAGTAACAGAGACAAGGCTTCATCCAAATGACTCCCTCATTTCTATTCACGCTGACAAAGAAGGACATCAGTTTAACTGGGACAACATAACAGTACTAGGACAAGCAAAACAAAGACAAGCACAAGAATTCCTGGAAGCCTGGTTTCCAACCACTGGTACCATAAACAAACATGTTGAAATAGATCCCATTTACATACCACGATGGAGCAAAACCCCCAGAAACAGAACTACCCACCATAACAGACCGGATCATATAAATTCAGAATGAAACAGAACAACAGTACTTTAATGGAGCATAGACAGCACTGAAGATGTTGCCTCGAAGGGAGCAAAATGCTTGAACGAAAACCAGTCAATTCGGCGAACCAGCCAACAACTCCAGCCACAACCTGAGCTACGGATCTTCGCCAAAACATTAAATGCTACAAGTGTGATTACCTGCTCTCTTGCAGTGTATCCAGCTTGTAGTGGAGTGCAAGAGAAACCCATGACTACTGAACTGACCAAAATAGCAGATTGGATCCTGCATGAACAACATGTTCTGGATCCTGATTACTGTCTTGTAATAGATGTGGGTGACGGCAGCAGGGATATGACTGGACTCTGCTGTGATTCATAGTCATTTCATTACCCTGATACTACAGACTGAATTTTACCAGAAATTGGCATGGAATCATTTTCAGTGAGTTTCATGGAGAGTTTCTCTCTGTGAGGCCTGTGGGTTTTCTAATACTATTTCCCAAACATGCCGCACTATCTATGCTCCATGCCACTACGGTGCCCTACTCAGCATATTCTCCCATTTGCCAAAGCGTGCTGTCTACTGCCAGGACCTGCTGGGATTCCTAGCACCATGCCATATTTAAAAGCCGATCATGTCCCCAGTCTAGTGCTGGCAGTCTACAGCTGTCACACCCAGTTCTTGTCAATTGCCCCAGATGAATGAGACAGAAGGAAATTGGAACTTCGCTGACCGGGACCTGGAAATCCTGCTTGACAGGTGGTGCAAATAGTCTCTGCTCACTGAGCATGCCCTGAGATGTCCGTGACTGGAGGAGTTAGTGTTCAGCTGTAATCACTGGTTACTGCTGTGACTTTCATGCCAAGAGTGTTTATGCGCCAGGTGGGAGAATGGGAAGCTGCATGTCAATGAAGTGGGATGACAGCATAATGTGGATGATAATGCATGTCAATAGGCCTCTCTAGTGAGAATCTGATCTCACTGTTCAAAATTTGGTTGGAAAATGGGACTTCCTGCTCCCCACATCAGGAATCTCTGTGTTGCTGGTCTTCAACAATTCTCCCAACTTGCCAATGCCCATTCAGTGACTGGGAAGATTCTGCCCTATATTTTGTTTAGATTCATACATCAAGCCAGGGCAAAGTTCCAGAAGGTGCCTGGCACTGTTACCTATGAAACTATATCCAGTCATGAATCAATTCTTTGAAACAGAACAGAAGAGAAAGGAAGTACAATTTATTAGCAAGGAAAATACAAATGTGTGATTGTCTGGCTCATGGATAAACCTTCAACCCTTAGAGCCCATTTCATTGCAAAATTTCCCATTACCAGTGGGTTCTATTCCAGTTTTTATGCATTATCTAAACCATTGCTTCATCTCCTTAACTAATTCCAGCTCCTTTTAACTTATTGCATTTCCTGTACAATATTTTTAAGCCCTTTCTAAAAGGACCTGTATTTTTGCAAAGTTAATTTGTTGCTGCATCTATTATGAAGTCTTCAGGCAATTAAAGTGAAAATTTAATAATTTAATCTGGTTATCCCATTCCTAATAAAAGATCATTTGAGCTCAAAATAGTTTGTTCCCAGAATCAAGTTACCCATGGCTGTGCTCACATTTAAATACTGGGTTCTTTAAGCTAAGCAACAGAACCTTTATTCTCATAAGATAACTCTCCTATCCATTTTTTTAAGCTTTAATTTTTGCTAGCAACTTTTACATCTTTTGTCCCATAAACCTTTCCCTGCACATTTTTGTTGGAAACATTGATTCCATCTGCCACTTTGCAATGCCTCACCCAATTAATCCTTATTGAAGCGTTGAGCCCCTTTGGTGATTGTTGGCTGTTTATTTGGCTGACGAGTCACCACAGGCAGCCAGATTGTGACTTCATCTAATACCCACAAATGCACACTTATATCTGAGTTTACTGGGTGCTGGTCAAAGGTTAGTTTTCAACTTTCTTGGTGCATTCAGTTTGTATGTAGAAGCATTCTTGACACTGCAGCTGAAATCCTATGCTTTAGTACGTTCAGTAACCTATAGATCCTTTTGGTTCATTTTGATGTAGGTTGCTGAGCTGTAGTGAGAGACCCAGGTAGCCACAGTGACAGACCTGCGGGGCTTCACTCTTGCTTTTCACAATGGTGAAAAAATTTATTTCAAATGTTCAGATTTTGGGCTGCATCACTATTGGTGATTTAAGCATTGGAAATTTAGAAAGTGTCCACCTAATGTTCACGTGTGACAAACTCATTAAATGTATTTTAATCGTGAAACACTAGCCAATTCCTCTGAACAACAAGGGTCACTGGGGATTTTTATTCCTTCTGACCGATTAACCTGACAGTGTATTTCCTATTTCATTCACGTAAAATGCTCACTAGCTCCAAATTTCTGCTGCTGGCTGAGATTGTAATAGGACCATGCAGCAAACATAAACTATCAATACTACTGTCAGGCTAAATTATTCTGATATATTAAGGTATCATTGATCGAAGAAAGTTCAATGTGTTTTGTTCAGAGCTGTTGGCGCAAGTATTTTAATTCTTCAAGTTTCCTGTGGGTACCCGTGACAACAAATAGATAATGGACAGGCTTCTGTGTCTTCAAAAGACCTGATCGATCCTTCAGTCTCCTGCTTCTTCTGACGTGTTTTCAGAGACTTTTGTTTTGATTTGCTGGGCTGTGGCTAACATTGGCACGAAAGATGTTGGAGTGGGTCACTCCAAAGAGAATTGTGAGAAACATATAGTAAGGGATTAACTCGATCAGGTGAGAATGGTAGGTTTCCCTTCCCTGAAGGACAGTAGGACATTGGTTTGTTTTTTTTTGTTGCTGGTACATTCCCAATTTAAAATAAGTTAAATTCCAAATCTTTTGAACATCCTCTGGGAGCCGAGGAAAAGTTGTTCCATCCTATTAATTGTGTTAACTAAAAACACAGTAATCAACTGTTTTAAAAGAAGTCAGAATTTATAGCTTAGTATTTCAAGATGATTAGTTTTATTTCCATCAGTGTAGTTTGTATAACTGGAAGGTAATACAGTGTTGCCCTAAAGAGCAATACTTACCGTAAAATGTGGGCTGTGGTTGTGCTGGAGTTTAGATTACTGTAGATTCATAGAATCCCTCCAGTGTGGAAGCAGGCCATCCGGCCCATCGAGTCCGCACCGACCCTCCAAAGAGCAACCCACCTTATCCCTGTAATATTTCCCTTGATAATCTAACTAGCCTGGGCACTATGAGTGATTTAGCATGGCCAATCCACCTAACCTGCACTTTGGACTGTGGAAGGAAACTGGAGCACCGGACGAAACCCATGCAGACATGGAGGGAATGTGCAAACTCTACATAAACAGTCATCCAAGAGTAGAATCGAACCCGAGTCCCTGGCGCTGTGCTAACTACTGAGCCAACATGCAACCAGCATGTTTTATGAATTTTGTGGATGGCTAGCAAAGTTGGAATTAAAGAGCTGTGTAAGATCCAATCAAAGTTGTCATTCTACAAACTAGTTATTGTATTGCTTTCAAAAAGAAATTAAATGTCACTTGAAAAAATGGCCAGAAGTTCAACATGCAGCTATCTTTGCTCATGCATTTGTTCACCACAGAATTCCCTAACATGTGTTTTATTATTTGCATTGTTAAGCTATGGAGAATTCTCTATTCCCCGTTAAATAAATCCCTTGCTTGACATTGTGCTTTGTTATTTAGAAAGCACTTTTATAATTGGTAGTTCTCTTGTTTGGATGACAAGAGACCTTTTCTGTGGCAACATTTCATCTATTAAGGTAGTTATTTCATTTTGCAGATTCCGAGAGTCAGAGTACAAAAACTCATACACAGTAACAAATGTAAAGGTGCCTAGATGTATATTTGTTTATGATTGGTATAATAATGGTTAGTATAACCTAGGGACAAATTGCAAATCCAGACCAATTTAACTTGTTTTGAAGATGACTGCTTTTGCTGATTTCAAGTCGCAAAGCTCCTGCAGTATGTTTGCATTATTCTCTGCCTCCTCTCAACAAGTGAATTCAAAGCATATACCAAATTAAAATGGAATTATTTTGCTTTCTAGCCAGCAGTTTCACAAGATAAGCCCCCTTCAACAGCTCCTAAGATACGTAAAACTGTTAGCGTCCGTGTCCATGAAGCAGTGAAAGCAATCGCACTGTGCCATAACGTTACTCCTGTCTACGAGTCTCATGGGCCTGACTCAACTGACCGAGCTGAAGCAGAGCAAAATTATGAGGACGCATGTCGGATTTACCAAGCAGCCAGTCCAGATGAGGTTAGTCCCTTCTCATCTACCCAATGTGCATGACACCAAGCTCCACTTTCTAAAAGTTGCATTTAGGATTCATTTTTCATTAAGTGTGCTTAATAATATTCATCATACCTTCAGATGCTAAGTTTGTTACTTCTGAAATGGACACTTTGTATGAATTTTTGTTGCTAGGTGGTATAACATGGAAGTCCACAACTCTACAGGCCTGAATAGATTTTTGCTTAACATTCTTCCTGAGATGCATTTCTCGATGCTTCTTCTTAATTTCTTTTCTTCAGGGACACTGACAATCTGAACATGATTGCATTTAGGCATCTGAGAGCAGCAAGATGCTGCTGCTTTTTCCTCCTCCAATTTTGTGCAAGATTGCAGTGCTCACGTTTTGATAAGAATGACTGGTGATAAATTGAATGAATTGTGTTGCTGGAAGTTAAAATTGTGGTATATTATGGTGACAGTGTAGCAGGGGATGCTTCTTAATAGGGACAGTATGATCTGTGACTGGATGCTGAGATTTAAAATGGGTTTTCTTCCCAGGACAGATATCTGATTACTGATGCTGAAGTTGCCCTTGTCCAGTTTCAGACAAGTAATTCAGATTGTGTGATGAACTTACAATTCATACCTATGTCAGGATTTTTTTAGCATTAAAATTGCTTGAAAAATGATTATTTTGAACGCTAGTAGATTGTTGTAATTGTCCAAGCACTTTTTTTGAATTAAGGATTTATGTTGAGATTTAAGTACCGTAATGTAATTTGCACATTTTAAATAAGAATTTTTTTCTCCAAAGCTAGAGGTAAATTTTGGTTCTGTTTAAGCAACAATTCTGTTTGTTACTGTCCTTAATGACACTTTGGTTTTTAATCAAATGCATTTTGTAGAGGGCTGCTTATTTGGTTTTCGATTGCATGCAGTACAAACCTTATTTTAATGAAATGACTTGCTAAAGTTTACAATTTCAGTTTTAATGTTAGGAATTTATTGTGTGCGATATCATTGTGCTCTGTCAGCTTTTTGAAATGCTGAAAGTTGGAAATAAACCAAATTTTGTTGCTACCCACAAAATAAAAACTGTACAAGATCTATTTAATTCCTATCTGTAACCAGCAGTGCTAAAATTCTGCTCATTATACATATCACTGACATTTTATACAAGGGAGAAATAACAAACAACAATGTGCTGTGGACTTAAGATTCCAATGGTGACCATGTTTTTAATAAACATGCTTCAAATAAAGTATTTTGTTGCAATTGGCATGCATAAGAAAATCATTTTGAAGAAAACCGTGCCCAATGTTGCAGACAGATCTCTGGAAAAAAATTTTTTTGTATATTCTACAAAACCAGCTACTACTAGCTAACAGTTGGGGTACTGTGCTGCCCCAGCCCTCTTTTCAAAGGACCTATTTGATTATTAGTGGTGATAATAAACTATGAATGTGTCATAACAAGAAGAGGCACTTGTCCTCAGTGACATCTTCATAAGATATTAATAGATACAGTTACGTTGTTTTTGCTACGTTTAACTAATCGATCAGGAGGTAATGATAATGCATCAGTCTCCATCAGCATCAAGAACCAGTTTCCTCTTTTCCCTCCCCAAGACTATATGATACCATCAGATTGGGTGGAGCTTAATGTAGTCTCCAACATTAAACCTTTCAGAATCATTATGTCAACCAGTAATATCTTATTTTAGTCTGTTTTCAGATGCTGAAAAAATGGCACAAAACAACTATGTGCCCAAACTAGGAGACTGGAGACTTAGCAAACAAAAATTGTGTCTCAAACATCATTTTAATAATTAGGACTAGTTGCAGATGTGTCCCTGTGGCCAGAATTAATATTAGCTGTTAGCCTCATTAGCAGCAGTCTGCTTATTAAGTCCAAGGAAAGGCAGAAGAAATATAAAGGGAATACTTGAGGGATAGAAGCAGCCCACTGGGAAGTGAAGGACTGTCATTACTCATAGAATCCCTACAGCATGGAAGCAAGTCATTTTGCCCATTGAGTCCACACCAACCTGCTGAAGAACATCCCAGCCGGACCCACCCGTGTACCTTATAATCATGCATTTCCCTAGCCTGCACATTCTCTGGACACTATGGGCAATTCAGCATGGCCAATCCACTTAATCTGCACATCTTTGGACTGTGGGAAGAAACCAGAGGAAACTCACATAGAACGGAGAGAACGTGCAAACTCCACACAGACAGTTGCCCAAGGGTGGAATCGAACCCGGGTCCCTGGCACTGTGTGGCAGCAATGCTAACCACTGTGCCACCCCATTATTCTTATTTCATAATCTCCTCTACACCTGTCTCCTTTCCCAAATGGTTATGAGCATTAACAGTGAATGAGACAGTTGTATAATAGGCATTGAAGCTTGTTTGAACCTTTGCTTGTTGTGTTTGATGTTGCATTGCCACCTCTGCTTACTGGATAATGTGATTGAATGACAGCCCATTTCCCTGTCCAAACCAAGGCTACATGTACTGCCACTTGCTTTGTTCAGGTGAGATGCATGTAGTTTTATGTTGTGCTTGTACAAGACTCGATAAGTCTTCTCACCAACTCATCTCAGCTTTACATTTCACCTCTAGCTGGCTGTGCAAATAGGTCTTGTGTGATATCTCTATCTTAGCACAGGAGATACAGGAGATTGGTGTGACCTTTCTGACACTGATGTTCACTGAACAAACTCAGAGCATCAATGTAATTTGTGTTCTTCTTTCTAACTCCTAACATTAAAACTAGCTGTAAAAATATATAATTTCATGGAACTAGTGTTAAAAATGTATAAGACAAAGTTCTTCATAGCTAGAAGGAAAGGATTCATTTGATTTGAGTTGAATATTTATATGGTTGTGTAGCAATGAGCTGGCTAAGTACCCTGTAAGTGCCCTCTGCTGAAGTGAGGGGAGCCTGCCTCAGCATTTAATCCAATCTGATGATTCAGAATGCACTTGCTGGCTTAGTACTGCCTGTCCAAAGGGATTACTTTAATATAAAGCCATTTAGCTCAGAGGGCAGCTGTGACTTCTTATTCCTTCGTGCTTTTATTCTGTGTAAAATTAAATCAACTATGAAGCCAAAGGAAAGTTGATGACAAGGTCCTTCTTTGAGAGAGGTAAAAGTACCTTTGGACATTCAAATGTTTGCAGATACAATTCTGTATAGTAGATCACAACATACAAGTTAACCCAGTCTGTATTTTTTCAGTTTTTTGGCTTCAAAAATTATGTTTTGTCTGTAAATGAGATACAGCATGTTCCTTTTTAACTGTGACATAGCTATACTTGCATTTGTAGTCAACCTCTGTTTTTCACCCCGACATAAACAGATGTTTTACTTACTAGTACCATAAAGCTGAATGCAAGGGATCAATCAGGCGACAGACTCCTGCATGTCTTCGCAATGCAGTCTAAGATGTGGCCACACAGAGCAGACATGTGGCAATTGACAAACATAGTGACCACCCACACCCGGGCTGGTGGTTCACTTTTATACTTATTGTATAAATTGATTCCTGTTTTTGGAGGGAATCTTTGAGGCTTTAAAGGTCAACTTATATACTAGCATCTTCATGTTGACCACATACAAATGTTATTATTAGTAAGAAAATGGAAGATTTCTTAATGCGTTGACCCTTCTCTTTAAAATTGGATATACATCAGTACAGGAAAAGTATTTACCGACTCAGGAACACCCAGAAGAGCTTCTTGTTCACATTCTGGGACAGGCAAGTGATGATGAATACCAAACTGCTTTTATTTCTTATGTTAAACCATCTAGTAGTGACACAGGTCAGGAATATGATATCTCCTCAGCGTTCCAACTAAATTACAGTGAAATCATAATAGTGTCGTTCCTGCTTGACGCCAACTTGCATTTAGCAAGAGAGCTTCAATGCTCTGATTTCAGTGATGGATGACAAGGCAGGAAGGAGTTGTGTTAGTGGTCTGAGGAGTGCAAAGGTCAGGAACTGGATTGTAAAAGTTCATTGAGTGTTAGGTGCCCTTTCAAATCTTTGGCACCACTGGGTCAAAGGTGAGAGACTGGGTTTGATCTTTATGACAATTTGTTGGAGAAGATGGCCATTTTCTGTAGCAAGAAAAATAGTGTCAAGGACCTTAAAAATGATTGTACAAGAACATGATTTGTTTGATAGTCATTACTTGTGCCCTTTTTATTACAGCTGCTCTATTAAAGCAGTTAACTGAATGCGGATATCCAAGGCATGTTTAAAACTTTCTGTTCAATTGAGCAGCAGTTTCTCACACACTATTACAAGATATTTCTGCTCTCCTTTCATATTGTCTGATTGCTTTACCATGTACATAACCACTGCCCTAGTGTGAGTGTGGTTGACAACCATCTACCTGGCTTCTACAGTGACATTCTGAAGCTACTCATTGGGTCATGTTTTGGGGGCAGCCTTGAATAACACTTCCCAACTGCTCCTACTCTTCCCTGTGGGGATGTTCCTTGTGTTTAAGTAGTGACCCATAAATCAAGGGCACAAACTACAAACTATTCTCTGGCAATGTCCACTTCAGGAAGACACCATGCTATTGCACTGAACCATTTTTGTTAGAAATGTTTCAAAAATATAATTTAAATAATTATTTCTTACCACTATTCTCTGCTCTTTTCACCATCTCCTCTGAATGTGTTGGCTTATTTCCTGGATGATTGTAACTCCCTTGTATTTTGCTCAATTAACCGTTATACACATTTGAATAATGTGATTGAGGGAAAGCAGAACAATTTTATCACAGCCAAAGTTGAATCCATTCACATTTATCGTGTGAAATCATCATGGCATGCAAAATGGTGAGAGATTTGGGAGAATGTGGCAGGAATGGAAAAATTAAATTCTCAACATTGGGGAAAATATCATTGTCCCCATAAGATTTCAATGACAAAATGCAAACTCCGCCTCATTTCTATGCAGTGATTTTTCCCAGGTACTGGCATCAATTTGTAACTTAAAATTC